TTCTGACAGTTCTGGTGGCCAGTCTTAATTTGTTTGGCTAGAAGCATTTGCCGAAAAAACCGGTGCTGGTAGCAACAAAAATTGCTGGGAACCATGCAAAAAACGCATCTTCGCACGGGCAGCCCGTGCGTTGGCCAGTTATTTTTCTCAATACTGTACACATATACATTCCCCATGGATTGCTTAAAAGCAAAGTGTTGACAGTTTTGATTCTCTGACGCGTGCTAGTCTCAATTTAACACTGAGACGAGTGAACAGATCACAATGAGGTTGAATTTCCACTTCCTTTACAATCCGTTCACTCGATTTTTGGCCTAAGAACAGAGCTGTCTACTATTATAATATACCCGTGAGGAATTTACCGAGAAAAAAAAATTTGGCATTTCTTTTCCAAGATATCTTACAAATCTCCAAAACAAGCAAAAGGACAATGAAGTACGAAGCTTTCGGCAGGCAGAACACCCCGGAATTTCTTCTGGTTACTGTGAGCCCAGTTGCTGCAGATGTTTATCCAACTGTTTGTATGCCTTTATGATACACCCTGAGATTCTGCATAGATTTGGTCGTTTGTCATCAGCCTGCAGCAGTATGCGACAGCACCACATCACAATCTAATGCTTTCACAACTGCACATGAGACGGCAGGAATACTGGATGTGCTGCTTACATTAATGGCTTCATCTGATTTATGCACAAATTTATGGCCTATCTGCCAGTTATATAGCACTATTTCATTACAAAAGAGAACCAGCAAACCTTTTTGACAAGGGAGACGCGTCCAAATGCTCCAAAACCAATATGCTTCACAACTTCAAACATATTCTTGTTCATTTTTTGCCTTTTCAGCCGCAAATATCGCGATTCCTTCTGCGTCAAAAAGTTCATCATGTGTTCGCGCATACTTTCCGGCAAATCGGCGCATTCCATTTCTCTAGCCAGCTGAAAACTAATGTCTATAACCCGAAGTAATTACGGACATAGTAGTTTGATACATCTAAGTGTGATTCTGTCCTGTAAACACTGTCAAAATCTTAGGATGGGATGAGATCGCTTGTCTGTAAATGTAAAAAATGTCCTCACAAAAAAAAAAA